AGCTGTGGGCGCAAGCCCCCATCCACAAGACCCCGAGCACACAGGGGTCCTGCCTGAGCCTCCATGTGCCAGCCCAAACCCCAAGTTCCACGTGAATCCAGAAATTCTCAGGGTGGGAAAATATATATATACATATATATATATATATACACACACAGGTGCGCCTCATGCCCAGCCCGTGTTTGGCACCCCCTTTACCTGTGCGATATTTGGGTGTGATGCTAAGGGCTTACATGTGTTAGCGGCAGTGGGAGGGCAGGGGGGGAGGCGCTTCCCACCTCAACCACGCGCATCCGCCCGGAGCGGCTCCCGGCCGCAGCCATGGCAACGGGGCTGCTCTGGGTTTTCCGCCATCCCCTCTCAGGGAGCATCCCGCCTTCTCCCCGCGCTGCTGCAGGGCGATGCGGGTGCCTGGGCTGCAGTCAAACACGCAAGGATGAGCAAACCCCCAGAGCTGCCCCTAAGCTGCTCATACCCCAGGCAACAGCGTGGCGCAGCTGCGGATGCTGCTGCTCTGCGCCCCCGTGGCGCGGCCGGCCACCAGCCCGACCTGCGCCTGCACCAGGCCCCCAGCAACACCGGCCCCGGGTGCTCGGGATTGTTTGGATGCTGCTCCCCTTTCCTGCACTCCCAAGAGCAGCTTTTGCAGCATAGGTCGCACATCACCTTGCACCGTTCCTGCATCCCACCATGCCAGCCGGGTCCTGGCGAGTCCTCATTGAACTCCCAAGCCGCAGGAGATTTCACCAGAGACTTCAGCTGAAAAACTTAACTTTCTTAGTTGGCATCAGAAAACAGATTAATCGCCCCCATCCCCATCACCTGGCTCCCCTCCATTGCCACTGTCACATCCCCTCTGCACTCGTGCTCTCCCTGCACCTCGCTCACTTCATCTTTCCCAAAACTGCAGGATGCATCCAGAGCAAGAAGTGCTACATGCAGCTCCAAGGCCACTAAAATGCCCTTTGCCAGCAGGACACAGCTCAACGCGGCCCCACGCAGAGCCCACTCACTCCTCGGGCCTCACATCCTCGGGAGCAGTGCAGGGAGTGGGATCGGGTGACTCAGCACCCCCAAATCCAGGACTAGTCTGCATCAACACCCCCAAACCCAGGTCCTGACCCCCAGTCACCTGCTGAGCAATCCAAAGATTTGCCTGCATTGCCATCTGGTGCCTGCTGGAAACAGCGCGGCTGCTTTGCTCGACTGCATGCAATGAAAACCAGCATCGCTGCACTGGGGAAGTAAAATGAACTCATTTTCAATCTGAGTTAATTAATCCAGAAAACATGAGTGGGTTAGAAAGCTTCAGGGCATTTGTTCAGATGTGCAGTTCATAGAAAATGGAATGCCAGGTAACTTCTAAGGTCTGAATTAGGGCAAAAATGCTCAGGGTAGAAAGGAGCCTACCTGATCTGTGTATGGCAGTTTACAGGGTTTGACACGTGCACTGCCGAGCTGACCGAACCTTGGCTTCCAGAAAACCTCCCACACATTCACCTGATACATTAACCCCAGAGCTCTATCCAAAATAGTTATTTTAGTGGACCTGATACAAGGGAGGAAAGCAAACCAAAAGCCTCTTAAGGCCAGTCAGCACCCAGGGCTCAAAGCCCTGACACAAGCATTAGCCTAGATGTGTTTGCACTCACTTTTTGGAGAAGACTTTGTAGCCAGAAGCAGCCCTTTTTAAGGCAGCCCTTGTTAGGAGATGGGAATGGGTTGCAGACAGCCCTAGTGACTTCCTTAGAAAAGGTCCCATGAGGGGCACGAAAGCAGCGCCCTGGAGCTGGGCAAACAGACCTCACCGCACCAGGGGACATAGGCAGCAACTGAGCAGAGAGGGAAAAAATACCAGTGCACCTCAGCCAAGCACTGGATCCGGTTGGCTACTAAAGGCCCTCTGGTCACTAACAAGCCTTAAGTTCCCCAACCAGGCTCAGCTGGACTCTCCATGCTCCACGCATGGTCCAGGAGCTCTGTTTAAACTCATACTTGGGCTCTTGTTGCAAATGGCCTCTGTGTTGGATCATTGCTGCATCTTGACCACCGTCCTAGGAGACGGTAGCTGGGAGGTCAGTGCTAGTAGCCCATGTGGAGGCAGTTGCTGCTGGACGTAGAGGAAGGGCTCTCTGCTGCTAAGTGCTGTGTGGTTGCCCACCACCCCAAGTGACCAGCAGGTAAGTCTGTGCATCCAGGGGAGGTAGAAGGGGGAGCTTATTTCCTTGGAGAAGTTATTGCTGGTCAGGTTGGATGAAGAAACCTGGCCTCCCTTGGTAGGAGAGAAGGCCTGGTCTGAAGCCTGGGATGGCAGCACTGTGTGAGGAGGAGAAGTAGCAAGGCAGGTTTGTGCGAGGAGGAAGAGAGCTGGGGCATGTGAGAGGCAGGTCAACAATTTCAAATAGGTTTACACTCTAAAAAGGCTTCTTTGATCAGGTGAGAAAGCCTTTTGCTGCTCCACATGCTGTGCCCTAGACCTGCAACTTCTTCCTCTTTCTTATCTTCATATGTGCTTTTTTCAAAGGCTATTTCTAATTAGCAGAGGGGAGCTCAGGTCACAAAACTCAGAGGAGAGCCACTGTGGAGACTAAACCGCTCTGCATTCAAGGGAATCTGGTTCAGCCAAAAGAAAATAGCCCACTTACTTACAAAATCCCCATGAATCCAGGTTTTAACCAGTCTCTGTGCCCAGAAGTGCTTTCATGAAGAGTCCGATGAGGGTCTCACCTTCAGCACTTGGTGTTGCTCCTCTCTG